ATAAATTCATAAAAACATTGTACTGCTTCCCATAACTCTTCATCTTGGTGTTGCGCAACAACAATTAGATCATCACACGGAATGTACCTTTCACCAAAATTTTTGCTCCCGCCTTTTGGTATTTTATGACCACGTTTTTCACCAGACATCCAAGGATATATTTTCGGATATTTGCTTCCTAGAATCAGAAATACTACCATTCTCATCTTTCCAGACTCAGAAGTGCCCGCAACTCTTAGTCTAAATGGTTGTTTAGGAGCGAATGGATTCTGTTTTTTTGAAGGTACAGTTTCATTTAATTTGCATAGTTCATAATACTCCATAATATTTGAAAGTAGGATACTTATTCAAGAAACATATTTCTAATGAATAGAATCTGACATCATAGATACTAACTTTTTTTCGTAATTATAAAAAATTGGAATGGGGGAACCAGTTATTTATATCGATCCTCAGAAAGCTCGAGACTTAGATTGGAATCTTACTTTACAGAAACTTTATTACAGACCTGAGGGATATTATCAGACTGCTGAAAAAATGCAGGATGCTTGTAAGAAGGCGGGATATGAGTTCACTTTGGCTGTAATAAAAAAATGGCTAAACAAGCAGGCTTTACATCAGATTCACAAACCCCATCCTAAATTTATTCAGTATGCTTCTTTTAATGATATACAAGATCTAAATGATGTGCATTAATCTGATACTACACCACTTTCTCATTGTAAAATAGGCAATCGAATTTATAAGCATAGACTTATAATAAAAGATGTGGCTACTAGATTTCGCCGTAGTTTTGCTTTAACTAATAAATCATCTGCACAAGTGGCTAAAGCATTTCAGAAAATTTATGATGACCCAAACTGCCCTCTTATTTGGCCAAATGTTTTAATTATTGATAGAGGTACTGAATTTATGGGCAAGTGTAGGGAATTATTACTTAGTCATGGTGTAAAAATTCAGTATGCTAATTCTAAACGTAGTGTAGCTATTGCTGAACGTGACCATCAAGAATTTGAAAAGCATGCTTATTTTCGGCAAGATGCTGTAGATTTTTATTTGCCTTTGACTGATAGATCCAGAGCATGGGTTAAAGGACTTCGTATAAATGATGATAATTATAATAATACACCCACTAAGTTAATAGGTATGTCTCCTAACGAGGCTGTAAAAAAGGCATTAAAAGGTAAAAAAATAATAGCTAGACCTTCTGTCAAACATAGGAGACCAGTTGGTTATAATGAACCACTTTTACCTAGCTATACTGAAGTTCGGCATTTATTGGAACCCGGCGAATTAGAAGGTGGTAGAAGAAGAGCAACCGATTGCAATTGGTCTCCCGAAGTTTTTACAATTGATTCTTATTTAATAAAAGAAAATCAACCTATTCTATATAAGCTTTACAATGGTCCTAGACGCTCATTTGTAAGAGAAGAACTACAAATCGTCCCGCCAGATTCAGTCTTACCGCCCAAATATATTCTCAAGCATTAGACTTACCTCCTCTCTCCTCCACTTGGTATAGGATTTGTTCGAAGGCATCGCTTAAGTAGTCATCCATTTCAGCTCTATTATAAACTATAATTTGCTTATTTCTAAGCCAGTCAGTTCGTGAATTCTTTTTTCCTTGTTTTTCATTTCCAGGTTTATCATCTATAAGAAATTTGGTAAGAGAACATAAAGTGAACTTGAATTGCCCACGCTTGTCAAATTCTTTTTCGAGTAATTCCTTAAATTGCTTTCTTCGGCTTTCTAACATTTTTCGTATATCACTGCCATTATCAGGATGAGATCGGTGAACTTTTGCACGATGTACTGCTATAGCTCTTCTTTTTGAGTGCCGTGCCTAATTCTTCTTGCTCTCTAAATTCTAGATCTCTTTCTTGTTCATCAGTAATTTCTCCTAAGCGCTCAAATTCTTTATTAATCAAATTCTTAGATTTATTACCTTTCCTAAATAATTGTGTTTTAGGTTCAGGACCACCTTCAGACTCTAATATCTTTTCATGTTTCTTTAACTCTTTTAATGTCGGTAGACGAACTGCCTCTGGATCATTTAGTTCAAGATCATGGAAAAGGGTCTTACAACCATCTAGATCATTTGCCTCATATGGCTCTATACCTAGATCTAATTCTTTCCAGCGTTTTTGCAATCTTGCTCCCCATGTCTTAATTCGCTCTTTGGGTTTACGTGCATTTGGACTGACCCAGTTCTTTGCCTCCTCTTCTGTGATATAATCGTCACCAAGTACTGGAGCTTTCTTTTCGGGTTCTAGCTCAGGAGTTGGAATTACCACATGTGGCTTTTCCTTATTGCTCTTATTTACACTAGAGCTTTCTACCTGTGCATTGATTTCAGAAGCTTGGATAGGCACCTGAATTAGCGTTTGAATAGAAGCTACTTCCTTCTGCTTTTGTAATGGTTTGCATAGATTTTTTCGCTTAAGATGCTCACGAAGTTTTTGAGGAGTTGAATATTCTCGTCCACAACGTTTACAGGTTGTACCTTTCTTATCACTTCTTGCTTTTCTAACCATGGTGTTAGCTCTAACCGTCGCACTATTACTTGCTTATATAATTTTTTCTTTAATTATTTATTTCCTATATACATATCACTTTTCGATTATAGAAATCTTACCGAAGATAAGTATTTACAAGCTTTCCAAGTGGTTCTAGCTATTGCAAAACTGAAGCATTAACTAATTATTAATT